TCTTTCTAGAAATGAAAGAAACAATACCTGCCTACCCCAGGGGCTACTTTGAGAATAAAATGAAATACTAGATATAAGAGTATTTTGAAAACTATAAATATAAAATGATATTACAGGCATACCTCAGAGATGTTGCGGGTTCCATTCCAGACCACCGCAATAAAGCGATTATTGCAATAAAGCAAGTTGTAACCATTGTGCTGGTGGAGGGTCTTGCCTTCAATTTTTAAAAACCAACCACAACATCTGTGCAGCGCAATAAAAAGAGGTATGCCTCTATTATTAGTTTAGCCTCTCCCCAAGGCTGCCAGCTTGTCCCATTCTCAACCACGGCTGCTATCTCGGCTTGCTGTCCGTGCACACAAAGAGTTCACAGCTTTCTTAGCCGGAAATACAGTTCCAACTAAAAACACCTCTATTTTCCTGTGGATTATACCTGGAATTCCAGGTGCATCCAGGAGAGATAAAAAGAAATGTGTTTGCTCAGTAAAATTGTGTGTGCAAGTTGTGGGGAAGCGTCCAAAAGGATGCATCTAGGCAGCAAGTGGAAACATTGGAAAGAGAGAAACATCCATCCCATCACCACCCCACTGGCACGGAGCCAGAAGTGTTTCTGCAGGTTTCAACTCAGCGGTACCCCTTTGACCAGGCACAAGGGGCCAGTGGAGTATAGGCAAGTCCATCCCTTCCAACCAAAGCGATTTCCCTGAATTCTCTGTGTGTGCCTCTTTTTGTCATTATTAATGCTCCTGGGAACACAGCCCTACCTAACTCTGGCAAGACTCAGAGGCAGCAGTTAATATTTTTTAAAGATGTGTAGCAGAACAATTTCTAAAGTGAAAACTTAGTGAGCCTTAAGCCCATAAGAGCAAGCATGTATTTGTGAAACATCCCACTTTTCTTAGAGATTACAGGATCTAAAGTAAGGTGCCAAAAACCCAAGGTAATTTCTAATCAGAAGGCACTATGGTCCTTACACAGCGCTTAGTCACCAAGAACATGGCCCTCCCTCCTCTACAATGCTGTGCAATAACCAAGGAATAAGGGAGGAAAGGAAAAGTGTGAGTTCTGTCAAAGCAACCACTGACCCTGAGACATGGCTTGCTTCTCCCTGCCTCCTTCACCCTCAGCCTCAAGCAGAGAAGGGAGGGTTTGCACTGATGGCTTTTCCGTGGGGCTGGAAAAGCAGTCTTCTGTCATTCTGACTTGTGCTCTGTCCCTCCCTGGCAGTGTATCTAAAGGAGGCCCTTTACAGCCATCACCCCTTCTGCTGCCAAGAACTCCACAGCAGAGCTTCGTAGCCATGTCAGTGAAGTAAGAGTACAAATAAAGAAGGCCCATTACTTGAGGTTCCTTCAGTTCTGATGACTTACATACGTCTCTTCTGAGGCCAAATGCGTTTAATCTGGTTCCAGGATGTCTCATTGGTGGCTACTCAATCCACAGAGGTTCTCCTATGCAGAGGCACCAGTGGAGTGGCTGATGGGCTGGACCTGAGAACCAAACTTCCCGGGTTCAAGTCCCAGCCCTGTCATTTATTAGTTATGGGACTTTATACAAATGATTAACCAAGTCGAGTCTCAGTTTCCTTGTTTGTAAAATGCGGATGATGATAAAACTAATACCCACCTCAGAGCTTGTCTTAATAAGTGAGCTGACAGAGAACAAACCCTTGATAAATGCCAGCCTGTGTGCCAGGCACTACTGTCTTTGAAACTAATGAGGCCGTATTCTCTGCCTCACTTTTTAAGGCCACTGTTTGAATTCTAAAATTAACAGTGTATGCCTCTGGCTACAGGGGAATGGAGGAAGAGAGAATCCAAACCTCAAAATGAAATCCACAAGCCTCATTCTGACATTTAAGGTCCTAAACAACCAACTCCCATCCTTCCTTCCAAACAGACCTCCTGCTAACATTCCCATGCCAGTTTTCTAGGGAATTCATTCTTTAAAAGAAAACATCAAGGGCCGGCCGAGTGGCGCATTGGTTAAGAGCTTGCTTGGGACGCCAGAGGGCCCCGGTTCGGATCCCACATATGAGGGCCAGTGACACTGCCCTCTACAGCTAAGATGCTGAACAACAGCTCGACCTAGAGCTGAGCTGCCGTGAGTCGCTGGCGACAGCGTAGGCTGCAGGCCCTGTGGCAGTGGGTTGCAATGGGCTACCATGTGTAGCCAGCAGCCAGCGTGAGCGGACGTCCAGAAGCCGGCGACTGATCAGCCTCACCGGGGAAGAGCGCAATGATGGTGCCAACTTGGGCCAGTGAAGCAACGTCCTCCACAACTAGACTGAAGAATAAAATGACAGCAACTTGTCTGTTCGCCTTCCCCCAATTCCCCAGTGCTGTTCCCATCCCCCAATTCCCCAATAAAAAAATCTTTAAAAAAATAAAAGAAAAGAAAACATCAAGCACCTAAGTGCCATGCACTGTGCTGGTCACAGTTCTCCCATCTGGGTCGACCCAATGCCCTCCTCCTTTTAGATTCTGCCTGGCCTGCAAAACAGAGCTCAAAGGGCTTGCACAGAGCCCTCCCGGGCTGCTCTAACCCAGCAGTGCTTCCCCTTTTGACCTTTCTAAGGTCTTTTGGCTCTTACTTGGCACTCACCACACATTGATTATTTTGTTATATGGTTATATTTCATATGCCTAACTAGAATACAAGCGACTCAAAGGAAGGAGTGAACTTGACATTTCTCTGTATATCCCTAAGTGGCTAGCACTATGCTTCGCACTTAGCTGGGACCCTGTAAGTTATTTACTTGATGTTTCCAGAAGGCACAGGTAGCACAGAGCAAACCCATTTTCATTCTTTTTAAACAAACAGCCTCCTGACAAAATACTCCCTAAGAGCGTAGAGACTTAAAGGCTCAACCTGCAGACCTAGACTAAGTAGGTTTATGGTTAAATCTGTCACTTAGATGTGTGACCTTGAAGAAGTCACTTAAACCATCTGTGCTTTAGTTTCCTTGTCTTTAAACTGGGATAAACAAAATACCTACACTTTTTAGGGCAGTTATGAGGATGAAATGAGATAATACTTTGGACAGGGCCTAGCACACAGTAATTAATTAATTACTCTGCAAATATTCATTATTATTATTATTACTACTATCTTCTTGAAGTTCAACTCAACCAGAATGCCCCAAAAAGCATTTTGTAAAGTCTGCTGAGCTTATATAGAAAGCTACTGGATATCAGTAAATACAAAACATTTCTCCCTTCTTCTTCATTCATTTGGCCCATTAGGTTGTTCAATAAGGCATCTATCTCTACCTCTCTACTGCTGATCAGTTGCCTCGAGTTACTACAAAATCTATAATTCTACTGAACCCTCCATTTTACTGTATACCTCAGCAAAGCTTTGCGTGTATCTAGAACTCAAAAAAATATTTTACCGTGGCTTAAAAGAGGAAGGAAGGTCTTAAGCAAAACAGATTCACTATCAAATGCATCAAGGCTGTACAGCGCCATTAAACTTACTGCTTTCCCAGGAAGCGCCTTCTTCAGTTATGTTTTTCAGTCTGTCCCCAGCCATCAATGACAGCAGAAAATTCTGCCTCAAACCCACCAGGTATGAGTATACATCTTGTCATCAAAACAGCATATTTTCCATCAAGCTGTTTCTCTCTTTTTTCTTTGCCACTACTTTTCAATGAGATTTTAATTAAGATCAGTTTTAATACACAGCCTACCAGGCAGATAACTCTTCAATCATGAGACAAAATGAAACTGCTGACAGAGAGAATGGGCAGTTCAGATTCACACGCTAGCATTCAAAAAAGGAAAACTAGCAATATTCTCTCAAGACATTTGCAACAAGGGGGACATTCTGCTTTCCAACCTCATAAGCCACGTTCTGCACACGGGCTCTTATTCAGTCTGTGCCTATGGACGACTACTAGCTTGAGTCTACTGGAGCCTTGTTTGACGGTCTGGCTTCTTCAGTATAGCATAGGTTAACAGCATAGACGTAAAACCTGGCTCCTGCACTTCCTAGCTACATGACACTGTGCAAATGATCTAAGCTCTCATTTCATCATCTGTAAAATGAGAAAAAATAATCATACCTACCTCAGTATGTGAGGTAGGTATGATTATTTTTAATAAATAAAAATTTTAATTAAGTGAGTTCATGAAATAAGAACATCCTTATTCCTTGTTATATTCTATAATTGTTTAGCTCAGTGTTCACTCAATAAATATGAATTCATCTCAACTGTATGTGAATTCAATAGCCAAAACCAAGAGGCTAATCGTTTTTCAAGTCAATGTGTTTCTTGTTAAGACCAGCCAGTTTCCAGAACTGGTCCAACAAATCAGTTCTATGTAGCCCATTACAGAACAGACATAAGCAAATTACACCAAAATAAAGCAAATTAAGCTTCCACATTTGTTAAGTAACCCTGACTACCAACAACACTAAAATGCTGATGTGGGGGGCATCTGATACTCTTACCTAAGCAACAATGTTCCAATCAAGTCATTTGCTTCTTATCTCCAACCTCATATTCTGATGTGCATTTCTGTGCTTCTAAAGAAATTCTATATTAAAATATCTGAAACAGGCAAAATTAAATAACTTCTAAGTAGCCTATGCCAGGAGTGTCTCCTCTACCTAGAAGATCTATTTATTTTGTAATGAAAACAAAAAGGCTTTCTTAAAATTCTTATTTAGGACAAAAAGTAAATGTAATCTATGCATGTAACAAAATTAAGTGGGATTAAACATTAGCATATTTGTTTTCTACCCACCTCACCACTGAACGTTAGTTAGGTATCTGCATCACTGACCTTGTTAGCACAAGTAGCACCAGTCTAGTATGGGCAAACATACTATGTATCTGTATAGTAGTCACATATTGTATTTCCCTAAAGAACATAAAATACTTAAGTTTTGCCTAAATACCACATGTGCTAAATTTTTCTAAACTATAGAGACGGAGGAAAAATATATCCCAAAGAGTACAATGAACATGCAATTTATATTATGCAACTTACCTGCAGTGGCTAAACAGGAACTCATCAGGGCAAACATGGCAATCACATAATGAGAAGTCATTTTTATTTCTCCAAAAGTGTGTCCCGTTGTCACCTCAGCCTCTAGCTCTTCGGATCACAGACAACCTTTGCAAATCAAAAGTGGCCTTAAAAATCCTTTTTTCCAATTTTCAAATTGCCTGTAAAAAAATAAGCATATTTTAAGAAGAAAAATTAATGCAGGAACTTTTCATAAACACACATCAGAGTGAAATGACGAATTTCTAAAAAGTGTACGATAAATTTATCTTAAACGATGCTGAGACAGCACTCAAGGAAACTGAGGTAGGGAGTATAATTACCTAATAAATGTTTTCATAGCCATATTTTTACAAAGACATGCTTATTGTTGACATTTTAAGTCTTTGGTTTTATATAAAACTTTCAGGACTATAGAAGAAAATCAAGATGCACCTATAACATCACCACTTACATTATGGCACTAAAGTAATCAAAGACACTAAATACATGAATTCCCCAGTACTAACAAAAAAACACAAACAACCCTGGTTAGAGACTCATTCTAATGTTATGATGGCAGAGTTATCACAAAGGTGAAGTTACAATACCTTTAGAATCAATCCAGATAATAAAGAACCATTAAAAGGCAAAATTCTTTTTTTTTTTTTT